TAATAATAATAGAATTTTTATGATATTTGATCAAAGGGCAGCTTCGAAACGCTGTATCGAAACATGATTCGCAAAGAGCTCGCGACAAATTCGTCCGAATTTCTCGCGAATTCGTCTCTGTAAAGATATTGAGATTCATCCGATGAAAATAATTAATCATTTCTTTTTCTAAAGTAAAAATTAAGAATATTTGAGTTTATAAAATCTTAGTTGCGATTGAAATTTTGAAAAAAAAAGTAAGATCCAAGATTGGAGTTTTTCTGATCACTCGTAATGTTTTTAAGATGATAATAGTTCATTGATCATTGATACAATTTTTTTCCTTTTTTTTCACCTCTCCTAAAATAAAAATTAAGAATATTTATAAAACGTTCGATTGAAATCTTACTTGCGATTGAAATTTTGGAAGAAAACTGAGATCCAAGATTTGAGTTTTTCCGATCAGTCGTAATGTTTTTAATGAATGAAAATTCATAATTCATAATTGATCATTGATACAATTTTTTTTCTTCTTTTTATCTCTCCTAAAGTAAAAATTAAGAATATTTATAAAACGTTCGGTTAAAATCTTAGCTGCGATTGAAATTTTGAAAGAAAACTAGGATCCAAGATTCGAGTAGTTTCTGATCGTAACTCGTAACGTTTTTCAAGATGTTATAACACGGAATATTATCCATTGATAGGATTAATTAAAATTTGCAAGGAAGATGCTTCCAAAATCGCGTACCATTTTCCTTCCGGTCCTCGCTGTTTCCACGATTCAACACGCTCCGCCCATCTTCATTATTGCAAATTAGGTGTTTGTGAGAAAACCGCGAAAACGCAGGATGCATGCAAACGTGGATTAGCAAGCGTTTAATGGCGAGGCTAATAGAATATCGTCGCGTTATTAAGCGGCGAGATTCTCCCCCTCGCCATTCGAATCAAAAGAGAAATATCCAATTCGTTGCCCGAATTTCAAATTCCACGTTCATGCTCGATCGTCAAAATTCAAAAACCCGTGAAAATCCTGCCCCTGAACCTGAACCTGAAGAGAAAAGGAACGAGACTTGTTGTCGTTTCCCTCTTTCTCCAGATTCGATCTTTATTTCGATGATGAAACGACAATATTTATCGCGTTGAATAAAAGGGGGAGGGAAAGAGAAGAAAAAAGAGAGAGAAGAAAAATACAACACTCTCTCTGTCTTCGATACTATTGCCACGGAGTGCAGGTGGAATGTCATTCAGTGCAAACCTACCTACCTCCTCCCCCTCCGCCCCCCTCGACACTGGGCGCGGCTGGGAATCGTTCAGCCAGAAGCGTAATTGATTCGGAATTATTGCACACGACATTTGTCCGCGCAAGCCGATGCAATCGAGTTATGACGGAAAACTGTGTTATAACGCAGTTATTCAGAGGGGGAGAAAGAAGCATATAACGGACGCGCGGAGAGAGAGAGAGGGGAGGGGGGGGGGAGGGCGACGGGTAGGGGTTTATTCCACGGGTATTGTTGCGTACAGTTTATTTAATTATAAAATCGAACCGAAGCGCGGCTCGCTGTCTCGGAAATTGTTTTAACCTTGTTTCAGATGCGCGTTGATTGGCATCGAAGCCGTTTCACGATCCCAATTCATCGATGATGATGTTCTTACCTTATATGAGAACTCATTTTTTTTTTTTTTTTTGAGGGACGAGGTGTATTCCACGAATTATGTAATACCGGAGTAAATCATAACTACTGTCGAAAAGAATCGTATTTTAAACGTCACGATTCGAAGAGATGAGATTATGCAAGGAATACACGTACGATACGGATCAAGAATGAAAAATTTGTTATTAAAAATAATGCGATATCGATTCCGTTCAAATATTAAAAATTCTTCTCTATGATAATTCTATAATAAATATGTAATAAATATAATAATGAGAAATAATAAAAAATTTCTTCTTCGTATTCGAAATTTTCGTCGACGATAAAAAATCACGAAGCGCGGACAGCGACAACGACTCGCTCGAAAGGAAAGGAAAATAAGAGATAAATCGTGTCGAATGTTTATATCGCGATAAAGCGTTCGCTCGTGCGAAACGAACGTTCGAAGGAAATGTTTACATACGAAATATTTCGAATAACGTTAGCCGGATTTTCAGTCGACGATTTGCCCTCGGAGTGTTAACAACGAAAGCGTGCGACGAGGAAGAAAAGGGAAATGGAGGAAAAGAAAGAAATTATTCCGGATTAATTATGCGCGAGTCGTGCCTCCTCGTCTTCGCGTGTGGCCTTTGTTCTCCGCGTGCACGGCTTGGATGTAACGAAGAGAGGAAACGAAAGGAAGTTAATTTGCTCGAGAATCGAAGAATCGACGCACGGAGGAAGAGGTTAATTACGCGGCCCTTTGCCGCACGATGGATCTTTGGATCTTTGGTTTCGCCTTCGAAGGGATTGAACAGGTAAAAAGAAAAGTGACAAAAAAAAGTATCGTTCGTTTAACAAGTTTCCTTTGTTGTTTCTTGAATTTGTTATTGATCGTTGGTGAACCATTCTTTCATTTAGTATAATAAGAATCGTCGTCTCGTTTCACGTTGTACCCTCGTTATCGTCGAGAGCAAGATAATTTTTCAAACTTTTTTTAACTAGATATAATCGAAGATGGATCGAGTCGAATTTTCTTCCCGTTGCAACAGTGCTGTTACGATTAAGCATTGAGAATTCGAATTTCACTCGCCAACTTGATCGATGCAAATTCGCGTTTCCTCTCCTTTTCGAGGCATCTCGCGCACACCTGTGGCGGCAGACTCTTGAACAAGAGCCGGCCGAATATATTTCATTTAATCGTTTCGTTGAAACATCTGGCCCTCTGGCCTATACTGCTTAACGCACCGACTTCGTTTCAATTTGCTTAATGACGTCGTGCGTGTAAATTAATGACGTCCTTGGACGAAACTATCTATCCGTTAGTTAGTTTTCTCCGCTCGTCGAAAAAAATCCGGGATTACCAGTCGTGATAAAAATTTTGCGGATTAATCCACCCCTCCTCCTCCCTTTTCCCCTCGTTTTAACATATTGCAATTGATGCGGCGCGAACGCGATATTGTTCAACGAGCGAGACCGATTTAAATAGCGTGCGGCTATTGTTTCACGAGGCGCAGGGTGGGGCGTTGGAAAATTTATAAGATTCCACCACGTGTGGATAGCGCGTTGCGATACGAATTGTTCTCTGCGAATATTCGAACGGAGAGGAACAGGATCATCAGAAAGGTTGTGTTGCCCGATATTAGAAAATATTGCAATGGGAATGAGATTATGTTAATTCTGTGTTAAAATTAGTGGAATCGAAGACCACAAATAGAAGATACAAATATGCGCGAATACAATTTCATTCGCTGGAAATTTCATATATTTCAGTTTCTTCGTGAATGTTAAAAATTGAAAAATTGGAGAAGAAAAAAGGAGATTCGTATTCTTAGAAATTTAATATTTCGACGCGTCCTTGCTTCCCCTCTACAAATCGTCTTACCTCGAAATCAAAATTTCGTCGCTGCGGCGAAACGGTTGAAAATACCGTGGAACAGATATCCACGCCCGTGCCAGTCGGATATTATACAGAGAAAAGTACCATTCCGGCCACGGCGAAAAGGTATAAAGCGAAATAAAGTAAAGTGTAAGCGAGCTCTCCCCCGCGCGATTCTACTTTAGATTAAATTCCGAAGCAGCCGTTCGCGTACCCTTCTCGTTCTTGGCCACCCCATCTCGTTTCGGGTTTTCCCCGCACGATTTCCCGGGTGCACGCACACAGCTATTATCGAGGTGTATACCGGCCATTTGTTTCTCGCTGCAGAGAAGATTAATCAAAGGACGAATTCTTTGTTAATACTTTGTAAGATGTAAGAGTCGAAAATTCGAAGCGATTTTAATTAACAATTGTTTCCCGACTTTTCGACAATAATTCAGTTTGCAATGACGTTACGAAGTTTTCGAACTTTTGTCGCGCATTATTTTATATATATACGTTCACTCGATGTACACAATATTCTCTCGAAATTCGCTTTGGAACGGGTGCTGAATGAGACTCGCGAACGAATCGTTGATAAAACGAAATATTACACGGAACGTTCGGCAAACAAAGCCGCCGATAATCGGAAGAATTTCATTTCGAAGCCCGATACTTGTCCCGTAATCGTTCGTTGGCGCGAATTACATCCGTTATCGAGGCCGAGCGTAAAAAAATACGAAAAACGGGGCGTGCGATTCGTTTAACAGCGCGAAAAATCAAATCTGTAAATTGTACGGAAACGCGATACGAATCGATATGTTTTTAAATTAAACAAACCTACTCGACCCCCCGCGGGCTCGCGCCGTTCGAATCCCCTCCTCCACCATCCTCCCCCGCAACGTTCTCGCATTTTATTTTCCAACGTGGGTGGGTGGAGGGGAAACAAAAATACCAACGAGCGGGAGATAGATTTGCATAAAAGGGAGGGAAGGAAGTGGAAATAAAACGAGAGAGAGAGAGAGAGAGAGAAGAAAAAGAAAAATACTACAACAAAAAACAAATGCATAGTCATAGAGAGGGACAAGGTATGCGTGAACACGCGTGTCGCGAAAGCAGTGCAAACACGCGTGTCGCCAAGAACACAGAGGAGAAAGGCCCTCCCCTCCTCGGAAAGGGGGTTGCGCGAGGGAGTACGTGTTACACGGCGTTGAATAACGAAACACACGAGGGAGGCGGCACGTGCACCCTCCATCCCTCTTCCTGACAGCTCTATCTCGCGTTTATCCGGCGAATCTACCTTTCCGTCTTCCACCAGGGATGTGCATCTTCTTCTCTTCCTCCCCCTCCTCCACCCTTATCAACCATTACTCCCACGGAATACCGAAATCTCTGGATGGATGGATGGATGGATGGATGGATGGAAGGAGGGCTGGAAGAATTCCGGAGGAGTGTCGCGTGAATCTTGGAGAATGGCGCGGAAAGGAAGGGGTTGAAAGCGTAATGAGCCGTAATCTCGGTGTACCACGGATTTATTCGAACCGTGGAGGGGAGGGGAGAGAATTCGCTGTTGTAATACGCGGCGGTTCGTGTTATGGACACGGTTGGCTGAACTGGCGGATGGTATTTCGGTTTTCTTTCGGTTCGTTTTCGGAGGAGGGGAGAAGGGGAGAGGCAGGATAATGCGTTGCTCGTCAAACGAATTAAAATAAGGAGCTATTTTTCGATTGAATTTTTGTTCTTCCGTGGAGAAGATGGATCGCGATTTATTGTCGTTTCGATCGTTGTAAATAGAATCGAATAGAATGGGATCGAAAGGAGAGAATTATATAGGATAGGTTTGTTTTAGGTGTATTTCAATATCACAGTTATTCTTTCGAATAATAATTCGTTATTCCACGAGATTTCTTATTATTAGTTCCCGTTTTATTGGTGGATGAACAATTGTTACGCTTGCTTAATCGAAGTTGAACGTCTCTCGGATATGGCCGCAGTGAAAAAGATATATAAAATCATTCGTGCATAAGAACAAGCGATTGAGTAACGTGTAAAGATTCGATCTATCGATTTAGTAGAAGTCCTTTCCCTGTCTTCTTCGTGTTGCGCGTTTTGTTTAACATTTTCCCATTATCGTTGTCATCGCAACATCTTTTTTCTTTTTTAATAATTCGAGTCCAACGAAACATTTCATCCCCTCCTCCCCTGGAAGACGTAAACTATTTTTCGCTTTAATCTCGTTTGCCCCGTCTGTTTGGATTCGCGCTCGAACAAACGCAGGAAAGAGAGAGAGAATTTCAATTTTGCACGAGCCGTAGACAGGCTTATCGTCTCGCGGGGCGTGCTTATCAAGAAACGAGGAGGATGGAACAAGTACGAGGCGCAATCGTCGGGTTATTTCGAAACTCGTCTTCGTTGCTCATCAATTAGGAAAAGGTTAGTAAAATTTTCGTTCGTTCGTGTTTCGAATCTTATCTTGGCGTCTCGAGTCGAGATGATACGAAATTCGGTGCAAATAAAAATTGCTTCCTCCGAATCTTTCGTCAGATCAGATTAGTTTCAAACGAAATCCTTCGAACAGAAGAAAAGATTCCCTCGATTAAATTATTCTCTAAAATTTTCAGCATTCTTTCGAGAGAAGGAACAACATATATATACATCCGCAAGACAACTTAATCCTGTTAATCTAACAGCTTACAAGATACTTGCACATAATCCCAAGGACAATCTAAGACGTCCACCGTCCCAGGACAGTGAGAATCATCCCCCTCCAATCTCGGCTTCAAGCAGCACTTGAGATGCAGCTCGAGGAAACCCTCGACCGGAAACAACCCTCTCCCGTGTCCACTCGATGAAGTATCGACCCCCTGATGGCCCTCCAACTCGATTATTCCTCGTGGCGAAAACTTATCTCGGTCACCTGCTCCCTTCCTTCCGTATTCCTTCCACGATCCCCCTCTCCATTCTTCCTATTTTTTCCCCCCTTCTCCCCTTACGACGCGTAACGCGATACTTTTGACGTCCGAGAAGTCGCCTCCTCCTTGCCGCCCGAGGATTCCGTAACAAAGGAGCGTCGGGATATATAAGTCGACGGGGGGTGGATGTGGAAGAGAATGTGAAACCCAAGATGGCGCCATCGAGACGTGTCGCAGCGAGTTATGAAACAAAAGGGTGGCGCGAGTCGGCTCCGTTACAGGGGAGGCTGCTGAATCTTAGGGTGCATTTCCATTTCAAATGCGCTGATACCGCGCAACACCCGCCCGTGTCACTATTTACTCGCGGATCCTTCGCTCCCCTTCTCTTCCCTTCCGCCCCGATAGACACCCTTTCCCTTTCGTTTCGCCGCTTGGGGGAAGGAAATGCAATTCGACGCAGCGAAAACGCTTCCAGGTTCGAGGAGACGAGTTTTCCAGATGGATTTCTCGATGGTTGCGACGATTAGCCCTTTCTACTCGTGCCATCTTAATGGATTGTGCAACGCGATTTCGAGGGATGGTTACTTTTGCCCCCAACAATCCTCGAAATCGAAATGGTGAGATTTTTCGAAATTGTCCGTTTTTTTTTTTAGCGGCCAGAAGAAAACTTCGAGCCTAATTCGCGATCTCGAAAATCTCAAAAACCCATTTCTTCTTCTTCTTCTTCTTCTTCTTTCGCGTTCGAGGAAGAAGTTGGACGAAGCTTTGGGAAAGTTTGGTTGGAGAAGTTGAAAGGTGAGCCGGCGACAATAAACCGGGGAATAAATTCGACCGGTGAAGCGAGTTTCCGCGGGTATACTCGGATCTTGCCAAGTTTGTCAATTTGCCCGAGTGCAGGAACTATCGCGAAACTCAGTTATCGAGCCGAGCTGTATTCAAATTCCATCATAATCGCGAGAACGAAGGAAACACAGGCGAGTACAAAGAGGTAGAGAGAGAATGCAACGCTCTCTTATCAACCGATTCCATTACCAAGATTACATCATCCACTCGTTCGATTCGAAACGTTCGTTGCCCCCTCCCCACAGGAGAGGAGGGTTTGATCCCTCAGTTTTCGCGGCGGGGCTTTTATTCGGCCACATGCCGCCGCCTGCCCCTGTCCCACGTTAATTAGTTCGAGATGGTCGGGCCGGGCGAAAACTGTTTGCCTTGCCCTTCTTCCTGTCCGCGTACCACTGGTTAGCCGGCGGGGATAACTCGTCCCGTGATTGTTGTTCCTTCCATCCGTTTCCTTTCCTCTCCTCTCCCCTCCTCTTTTTTCTCCTTTCTTTTTCAGAGGAAGGTTCTTCACGAGGTTAACACCGATGGCACGGGATCAGGGGCACAGATGCGGAAAACTACCTAACCTCCTCCTCTTCGAAGGGGCAACTTTTGGGTCCTCGAACCGGTCATTCCTGGAAGGGTTGAGCGCCGCCTATCCCTTTCTAATCGAAGGATGAAGGGGGATATCACGGTGATTTGAGCAAGGAATCAAATAGCCGTGAGGGTGGATTGATGTCGCTTCTTGGTAGGAACGGATGATTGATGCTTGCCCGTGTTTGATAATCGGATTTCCCGGCTCCTCGACACGTTTGCCAGGATAATTTGTTTCGGGAATAAACACGTTCGATTAGTTTTTAATCTTGGCAACACACTGGAGTAATAGGTATAGCGGTTTTGCGAGCTCGAGTCGAATCGGAATTAATCAATTAGCGATTGGCTAATTTCAAGTGGTTGATCGATTAAAGCAGGGAGGATGTAGGAATCTTTGTGTATTTTTTTTTTTTTTTGAATTAAAAATGTTTTAACTAGTTGGAAATAACGACAACGTATATTCGTTGAATAATTATTTCGAATTGAAGTTTCGTCTCTTTTTGCAGAGACGACTCGTTGTTTATAACTGGGAAAAAGTTTTCATGGCGAGCGGTTTTGTTTCGAAGGCCTCGTTAAAAGCTACTAGCCCCGAATTGGCTCGGATTTTTGTTCGCCACCCAGAAACGCGAACCCAGAATCGAACGAATGAAAATATTTATGCCAGAATTTCGACAGAATTTCTTTTTCATCGAAATATCCCCTATTTCTTAATTAATACGAATTTTTCGCCTGTGAAAAATTTAAACTCTCCTCGTATACCATTTCAAATTCCTGCTTCGTTGATTTGTCCTTTGAACGTATATTTTCTAAGAATTATCCCTGATTCTTCTAATTTCGTCCTCTTTAGTATCATTCTTATAACAAATTCCCAAGAATTTTTCACGGTTTCTTTCTACATTCGCAATCGAGATTATATATTCCCTTTCATCTTCTTTGGAGTCAATTAAAACTATCGCCCACTTTGCGTGCTGTTCTGCTTGATTCGTTAATTAAGTGGTACGTTTCGTGTTTACATCGGTGCTCGAGATCCCTCCCGTCCCCTTTCGTATTTTTGCTTGCCCGTTCTTCACCCAGTCAGACAGTCAGTTGCGTAATTTTGTTTGTCTTGGTCTTCACTTTTCACCCTCCACGAATTCGATCTTAATTAGTTGTGTTGGGGACCGCATCAAAGGGAAGGGAAAAATTGTTTGACTGCTTTGCTGCCCGAGAGACACTTTTTTCGATTAACTTGCTTTTCGTGGAAAGGCGCGGTAAATCACTGGAAGATGCTGCTACATTTTTTTCTCCCCCATCCATTACGAACTTGTTCGTGATGATGTGTGTGGATATAAATTGAATATTTTATAAAAAAGAAACACGAAATATAAGAAACAAATTAAAAATAGGTTTAATTTTCAGAATGGATCAAAAAAATATATATATAAAAATTATTTTGGAATATTTGTTTAATCTCGAAAGAAAAGAACGAAATTGAATTTTCTTTGGTGGAAGTTTTCATATAATTTTCGCGAGGTGGTTTAAATAAAGTCACGAACGAAACTATTGCTCGAATTCGTATGTATCCACGATCTAATTTACAAGGATTATATTAATTAAATTCGAAGATGGTAAGAGGATAGGGAAGGCGGACTCCTTTCAAGATTAATAACTAATCCTCTTAAATAGTTTCTGCAGGCAGTCAACCATTCGATACCACGAAACGTGAACTATCGTATTAGACAGTGTAGACAATCAACGCAACAATTTTAACTTATCTTAATTTGAAACGGAATTTCTCTAACGGTATTACATTTAATGATACAAAATGGCGAACAGATTTATTCCGTCAGATTATTGAAACACAAGTGAACGTATATTTTTGATCAGGTGTATCAATTTTTCTAAAATATTTTCTTCCTGTCGAAACTAGTCGAATAATCCGAAAGAAAAAGATCTCTGCTCTCTCGAACGAAACAAATACACGCATGGAGGGCAGCAGAAAAAGGATCTCGTTCGAACGAGATCCAATTTTGAATGCATTCCAAGACCTTTTCTCGGGGAGGGAACGCGAGGAATCGTTCGATTTGCAACAAAATGTCAAACAAGATAGAAGCGAGGAAATATCTCAGGGCTCGAAACGCAATGGAATGGACGATTTTCGGATCAAGGGTGAATAGCAAACGAAAAAGTACAAAGCCGAAGGCGGTCGAGATCAACCAATATTGAACCACTGCGGATAAGCGGAATTTGTTTTCGATTCTTTCGATGCACCGTTTTCCTAAGAGCACCGCGATAAAGTAAAATGCAATACCTCTCTAAAATATATTTCATATACTATCGAATATATTCTTTTTCAGGGTATATTCATCCTTATGCAAACTCGCAAGTGAATACGAACGATTTATTTGTTAAATATCTTTCCCTCTTGTTTAAAAAAAAGAAAACAATTTTTAACGATGTTCTAATTATCGTTACAAAATTATTTCTCTTTAACTGAGGCAGAGGGTACGAAAAGTATCGTCGCATTATTCCATTTATCAACCCTTCAGAAAGACGATTTATTGGAAAACTCGTATTCCTTTTCCAAGAAACATCTTCTTAATTTAAATTAATCCCCTTTCGTTTTATTGATCTTCCAGATTTGTCGATGAACCAGAATAAGATTGTACCACAACAAATATTCCAATCTCCGTCCAAAACTCGTACGTGCGCATAAATTATGCACGGGGTAGTAAACACGCATGAAAGTTCTCGCGGGATAAGAAAAGAAGGAAAAACCTTGCACCGGTAAACTTTTCTTGGGTTGGCGGATTCTTGGTGGCGGAAGTTGGAATCGAGGACGCTCGAGCGTCCGAGCGGTTGATCGACCGGGACATCAAATATTCAGCCTCCTCCACGCTCCCTTTTTACGGTTCCTCCGTCCTTTACGACGTTTTAAATTCCTCTTTTTTTTTTTTTTTAACCAGCGCGCCAAGTCACGCGCAACGCGATGTTCTGAAGTGGGCTCGTTGGCCACTTCGAACGAATATGTTTACGATGTTGGCTCGCGGTGCAGCGCGCAGGAAATGGGGCAGAGAGGGAGGGGGAAAGAAGGGCAGAGGCCGGTTCACCCTTTTCGTATTTATTCCTCCGCGCTGGATTTTCGGGGATGCCGTTTGGAGACGGTTTGTCGCACGGTGCTTGAATTCGAAAATTTAGAGTAATTAAGCTTCGGAGTTGTTTTTCTCTGCGCGGAGAGTGGAACGTCGGGGGTGGAATTACGGTATAAAATGTTTGGCGGGAAGGGAGGGGAAAAAATTGTAATAACAGTGGCTGGCTGGCGTGTTTTAATTATCGTTATGAATTGTTTTTCTCGGGGGTATTTTTCCACGAGTAATCGTGCAAATTATAGTTTCAGAGAATGATTGACGCAATTACGTTGAAACGATGTGTTTGGGTGAAATAATTTTTGTAAGGATTCCGCTTGAAATTTTCTTCTCATTGGATACGATTTTCCATCACCTTCTTAAAAGTGAAAATATAAAATAAGAATGGCTCGAGTGAAAAACAGTAATATCTCAAAGATCTGTCTCAAATAGAATCTCAAAGAAAAAAAAAAAAAAAGAAGTCTCCAAGTTTTACAACAGAACAATATATACAAGTCAATTAATATCTTTTGCTTTCCACATTAACATACCGCGTAATATATCACCATATTATTATTACAGAACAAACAAGCGCAATTCCCAAACTGAATTACATACTTTCCAACTTTACTACACGAAAATAACAATACATGCAACATACGTAATCCACTCTCTGGAAGGAGATAATAATAACTCTTCACGCGATTTTCAAACGCACCCCAACGCGTCTCTCCGGTTATTATATTTCCCGAACAAGCGATCGACTTCTTCTTTGCGCGAGAAACGCAAGGGAAGTCGGGCGGCTGTTTGGCCGCCGATAGATCCGCCGCTCGTGTTTACGTTGCGCGTTAAACCCCGTTGCGCCGTGCATTAAACCAGACCACCCCACGCCGAGGATCCAAAGCCCCATAAGCATCGTTACGCCGCCCTGCCCACCCCGAAATTACCGACACCTATGTGTATATATATATATATATATATACAGCAGTCCAGCTACCCCTGGAAATTAATCCGTATCGCATTCGCGCGGGGCACACTCGTTTCCTGTCCAACGAAATTGACCCCCTTTCGAACGATCCGAGCTTAGCTTTTCTCGCTTTTGGATGAACCAATAACTCGAGACGGTGAATTTTTCGGATAACTTGAAATGATTTCAAATCGACGTAAAATTTTTATATTTTAATATTTTGTAGGTATTCTGTAGGTATAAAGAGAGAAAATTTGTTGAATATTAAAAATCTAGATTGTTGTGTGATATTTTAATAATTAGTAAGATGGATTCTTGGTTTGTCAGGGCAAATATCACAATAAAATTTCGTTAAATGAGAGTAAGTGCTGTCATTTATTGTCTACTGTTATTATTTTTCATCTTTTTACACTGCATCACTATTTTATTGTCAATTTCTTAACGAATAGAAATAATTTCATTATTTAATAACGAAAAGTAAAATTCATCTTTTCTCGAACTAATTTCATTACAATATTTCATGCTTACGAAACTCAGAAACTTTGAAAATAATATTTCTATCGCGACGACTGTCAAACTCGGATTAACGTCGAGAAATGTACTTCGATCACAAAGAGTTGAGGAATCTATTCAGAAAGGGATATTTTAGAAAAAATCGAACATAAATAAATATTGTCGCCGTTCGAATCGCTACATCAACTGAGAGTCAAAGGGTTAAGTAAGTTTCACATTCTTGCCTTTGCTTCGTATCGCGAACACGAGGTATATTTTATTCGATGATTTTGAATTTTTGAATTTTTAGAGATTGGAATTTTTCGTAATCCTGGGATATTTTATGAATCCAATTTGTAAATTATATTGCGTGATAAAGACGAGTTAATTGTGAACTGTTCTTTATTCGTCGCGTGTTCGAGTCGGTGAATTCGAGACAATTTTTCAGCGGCAACACCGACGCGAATCGATCCTTCGGGGATCACGCTGAACAATCTAATTTTTCAGTTTAGCAACCCTTGATTGGGATTAATCGATGCGATCCTTTGCACATTTGTTACGTATTTTATACGTGAATTTTTCGTGGCGAATTTCGTGGAAAAATTTCGATTGCGATTAATACAAAGCGTATATAGAAGGATTTCAGATGTGAACTTCCAACGTTGATTAAAATGATGGGATTAGTTTTGAAAGAGATTTTTAATCGAAATTAAAGCGAAGAATTTCTTTTGAAGAATGGAAATCGAGACATTCGACGTAGATTAAATAAGATAGATATAACAGGAAGAAGAAGATAAAATTTAAAATAATCTTACTTAATAACAGGGCACAAAATTTCGAAGTAATGGATATTAAGAGACTAAAATAAGATTCACGTTTCGTCGCTTTATAAAGGATACACCGTTGGCACGCTGTTAATCCTCTGTACGACTTCTTTAACGCCCATGTTACAAAGGCGTAACCCTTTGAGCGTTCGGTTCATACTTCGCGCAAGATGAAAACTGCCGAAGCGTTTAGTGTCATACGAGACGCCTTGACAAAACCCTTGAAAGAGATTAAAGCGTCCAAAGTTAATTCTACATCCGATTAAAATATATTTATTCCACTCAACGATGGCTGAAATTAACGACAAGCTCCATTCAAATTTCCAACATTCGAATAAAACACAAGATCGGGATAGAAAATTTCAACAAGGATCTTCCAATTTATGGAACTTTTAGTGCCATAAGAGACGCCTTGGCAAAACCCTTGAAAGAGATTAAAGCGTCCAAAGTTAATTCTACATCCGATTAAAATATATTTATTCCACTCAATGATGGCTGAAATTAACGACAAGCTCCATTCAAAATTTCATTTCCAACATTAATAATAAAGATCTTCAAATTTCAACAAGAATCTTCAAATTTCCAATTTTATGGAACAACTTTGAAACAAGAATAAATAAATCTTCATAAAATTCTCGCTATAAAGCATAATTCACCCGATACACGCATACGTACCTGCCCTCATACATACCTAAAATTTCCCCAAGGAATCGCATCCCATAAAAGGTGGAAGAATTTCAAAACATGTGCATCGGAAGTAGCTCCTTGGAATGGATCATCCTACGTTCTTAACGTAGCCACTCAGCCAGCTCTTCGTCTTACAAATTTACGTTCACGCACGCATGTGCGTAGCTCTGCATACTAGGCTGGGGATCACGACATCGCGACCCCTCTCGATCCATCCAACCCTCTCCACTCCCTTTCCGCACGAAGGCGCGTCCCTCCCCAACTCTTCTTCTCACCTTCGACACCTGGCAAGCCGCAACTTCGTATCCAACACTCCCTCTCTCGGTTTCCTTCTCGCTGAGGGTTAATTCGCGGGGTTGGGAACGGATGGTGTCGTTGGTGGCGTAAAGATCCCGTGGCTTTGCAGCTCTCGAAACTCGTGGGAAGAGGTTCAAGAGGAGAATTCATTAGCAGAAAATATCGATTTTAGATATTTCTTTATTTTTCTTAATCGGAGTAATATCGATCACTGAAAACGTAAGGATAATTAATTTTATTTTATTTCAATAGTAATAGTGGTTGAGAAGTATTGGAAATATAAGACTGAACGAAATGACACTCGTTCTCTTCGTAATCTAAAAATTGCCGGGCTACCTCGTTCGTAATTCGACGTTTCACGAGCGTAAACAGACGTTACGACTCTGCGAGATTGGAGAAACGATGAAACGGAGGGAGGGATACGTAATTTGAGCGGTTCTTCTTCGGGGTGAAATTGTATCGTATACGAGTAAGAAAGTAAACGACAGGGGAGGAAGATTCGCCGATTATTACCGCGAAACCTTTCGCCTGAGAGGTTACAGGAACGCGCATACTCGTTACACGTAGGAGGAAACCCTTTGCGGGGTTAAATTCGACGAGGAAAGGAAATCCCATATGTCGAGAAGTCCCAGCACGTTACCCTCGATCCACCATATATTAACCCGGGGATTGAAGGGTGGGTGGATGGGTGAGACTGACTGGAGAGAGACACAAGTCCTTGACAAGATTTTCATCCCCCGTATTCCCTTTCATTTGACTTTCATCATTTCCCCCTGTCGCGTTCTTTTTGTCTCCTCGTCGATCGTTAATTAAAAAAGAAAAAGAAAAGAAAAAATGACGAAGGAAGGTGTTAAATGATTATGATTGTCAAGAGCGAAGTTTAAATATTTTATCCTCTTGTTAAAAAATTCTTCGAATCGGATTATCATTCAACGTATCTGCTACTTGACTTCGACTTCATGATTGATGGAAAAGAGTTTCATTAGCGGAGAATTATTTTGAAATCGAACGATGGTAAAAATTTTATATATTTTATAGGATCGTATTAAAAATAATCTTTAAATACGAGAGTCTAAATGTATTTTTGAATGTATCTAGGAGATTAAAAGATTGTATACTTTATACGATGATAAGAAATTATTTTTATCAGGAAGAAAAATTTCAACTTTTTACTAGATGCTATAGGAAAAGCATGCAATATCGTAAAGCGTTACGATACACTTTCTATTATATTTTTTCAACACCATTGCGTGGTTGCTTCGTCGATGCGAATCGTAAAAATTCTATAAACTGTGAAACAAGGATTTTACGATCATTCCACGCCCATTAAATATACCTGTGCTGCGATAAAAAGTCATAACGTTTTTTCTCAATGAAGAGTACAAAAAATTATCCTTACTCTAATTGAATCGCAATAAAGTGTTTATACCAAAGAAGGGAGAAGAAACGAATATATCTTTTTTCAATCGAAACGAGCAATCTCTTGATCATCGAACCGTTCATTGGTAATGGACTCTATTTTTCCAAAAATCAAATAAAAAAGAAAGGCGTATCTCGATGAAATTGATTCTAATGTTGTCTTAACCTAATTCATCCTATCTCTTTGTATTGTAAAATTTACAAACAGACAGCCTCCGTTTAGAATAAGTAAGTTCCTTCCACGCAATGAAAGTGTTTTCAGTAACCAAAAGCCAGTCCATAATCGGACAGAAAAGTTGGCGCCAATTTTATTTGATACTTTAATAATCTAATTTAAACTTAGGGCCGATTGGCGTTCATCTAACTTAATTAAAACTTTAATTACTCGATCAAACTTAAGAATATTCCCGCCTCTTTTCTACCCCTTTTTCAATCGAACGATATATCGATCCTGAGGAAAAGGGGAAGAAAAAAAAAAAGAATTCAATCGATCCGCGATTCATCCGTGAAAAATCGCCCTAAAACGAAAAGATTTCCATTCTCTCCCTATCCACAAAATTCACGAACCCATCTCCACCTTTTTCGCCCACCTACTCCAAAATCTTCTCCAAAATTTATTCCCCACTTGGAAACTCCTAATCGCGTTCCTCCCCGACGCAACGCATGCATACGTAACACACCGACAAACACACCGCCTCGTGGAATATTTCTTCCAGAGGGGGGGACTTCCTTCTGAGAGGAGAAGCGGACAGGAAACGACGGAGCGGAGAGAAAACTTTCCACCGCGAAACTGGCCGAACTTGGAGCACCCCCGACATCGCGACCCTTTCCCCATTCCTTTATTTTTCCCTTCCCCGCAGTTTTTTTATCGCCGACCCTTTTTCCTTCTCGAGAGCCTCGCTCAAAAATCGGCGGCAACGTGTGTCACCAAGGAGAAGAAGAAGAAGAAGAAGAAGAAGAAGAAGAAGTCTCGCTCTCCTCTTTCTTCCTCCATCCTTAGCCACGGATTAAAGTATCGGCGACACCAGCCGCGACTGAATAATTCAGGACGAAAGTTTGAGCCGCAAGCCAAGGAGGGGGGATGGCGGGGGGGGGAGAGGGGTGAAAGCGTGGCAGAGCTTTTCAAAACGATCGAAATTCGCTTTGTGTTGCAGGGTTCGCGCTGATGAGGATCGTCGAGGTGTACAAGGAGATTCAGGAGCAGGAGATGAATATCGTGAGTACTTTCTTCTTCTTCTTTTTTTTTTTGAGGAGGAGGAGGAGGAGTTAGTTTTTGTATTTCGAGTTTGTCGTGTTGGAAATTTAACCGGAAAATTTCTGGGATAACATTTTTGTTCCATTAACTCGACCTGTGTTTTGTTCTCGTTTCTCTTTTTTTTTTCTTTCTTTTTTTGGAGAGGGGGAGGGGATGAAAGTAATAGGATTTCGTTGGGAGAGAGGTAGCTATGGGAATCTCTCCGGAGTGTTGAAAGAAGAGTGCTCGAGATTATTCTGGTCGAGATTATTCCGATCGATGGATATTAGTTAAGGTGGGTGGAAGAAAAGAAAGAATGAATAAGAGAAATCTTTTCGATGTACTGTTATTTTGTATTATATTAATTTCTTTGGTATTTCGTGACTCGGAAATTTAACTCGAGAAACGATAAATATTTATATCGAATATTATTAAATTGTTGCAAGAAATCAAGAAAGAATAGGATATTAGAAAAAAGTTAACATAGAGAGAAACAACGATAAATTGCATTATCCAAAACAATCATTGAGAAATCTCTCAACACCGAGAAACGCGGAGGCAAAGATTTTCCAAATCCCCGGCCAATGCAATGAATTATGTACCATAACGTTTCCAATCCGCGCGGAACGCGATAAATCTTCCACCCTAACGAGCCCTGTAATACACCACACCCCTCCTACCTCCTGCACACCTCCCTCGATAAATCGCATCTCGAGTATCGCCGGCCACCTTCCGAAATCAAACCTTGAATACTTCATAAGAACGAGGGGTGGAGCGAGCATTCGTAAAGGAGGATTTCCAAGAATCTGCTACGAGCGAGGTATCGGATAAATCGTTACTCTACCCGTTCACGTTCGAATTATTTAAATAAACGAGCGCTGGCTGACGCAATTAAAACTGGGCAGGGGGAGGAGGGTGAAACCGAAACGGCGAATCCGTGACCAAAGTTCCAATCCTCCCCTCCTCTCTGGAATATTAATTGGAAAGTTAAAAGAGAGTTTTGGTCATTTAACCCTCCCCCTCCACTCCGATAGCCCAACTTTGTTAACCCTCCCTTATTCTTCCAGTCTTTCAACACGGTGTTCCAACACCCCCCGTTGGCTCCTTCGTTTCTTTTCTTTTCTTTTTTTTTTTTTTCTTTTCCATCCCCATCCGTCCTCGGCTCAGAAACACATGGAAAATCTCTTTGATCCTTGCGCGACCCCTGGCCTGCCTTCCGGGTGAGATTACACACCTGCAGACGTCTCCCTTTTGAGAGTGAAAATTCGTTTCGACCGTAACGACATGTTATTACGATTTCGCCCCGCGGACAGTGATACGGGCAGCCGTGTTTTCGAAATGATATTCCGCGAGGGAACTGCTTCCGCTCCTTCTCCGCAGTGGCGGAGAATGTTCTTGGAATTTAAGAAAAAAATCCTTTGGATCTTGGAGAAAGGTGTGGTTTTGTTTAACTCGATTTCATCTGTTGATGAATTTAAAAAAAAAAGACGATGAATATTCATTTTGAGCGAGAAAAATCATCTTCCTCGATTAAAAATCTCTCTCTTTAATAAAAATTGTACGTTCATTTTTGCACGATAGCTCTTAAGATCCTAAAAAAAAAAAAATAACCAGTGGATCTCGAACGATAGATCAGATTCACGATAAATCTCCATCTTTCCCCTTCCAGATGAATATTCCAAAACTGCCATTGTGCCAAGCATCGCAAGGTAACACCCCGTTTTCATTTCAATGACAATGCGCCATAAAGATCGTCCACCCTCTGTGCGAGGCCACTGCGCTCGGCGTTTAAAATCCGTGGCAACCCCTTCTTCCGCTCTTCTCCCAAATATATTCCCGTCGCGTTGATACACCCGCTCTCCTTTGTGGAGAATATCCCCAACAATGATCCCAGAGCCATTACGAACGATCCTCCGTCGCTGCGCAATCGTTTCCAACAGGACGTTAAAGTCTCGAAGATTGAGCCCCTTTGATCCCCATCTTTTCCACGAAGAAACGAAGAACAATGTTTCCAGCGGCAATAACGGAGGACCGGTTATTGCGCGACAGTTATTTCCACTGGAATCGCCGACCAAACCATTTGCAGTTGCATCGTGCGTGTATCCATTTGAAAATCGCGTGGACAGAAGGAAGACATTCAGGAAGGGATTCGGTCGAACTTTAATTGTTTCCCTATATATATATATATAACTCGTGGAGAGACTTGTCCGGAGAAAAAGTAATTGTTTCTCTTAACAACTGCCAGATATGATCTCCTCTCTCCGCGTTTTATAGCACTCGGCTCGATATTGGATTGATTTAGAGCTCGTTCCTTTCCGGTGGAGGAAACATTCGTGGGAATAATCGTCGAATTTTTCGAAGAGATAGACGTTATATCTAAGGAAACTTTTTCGATGGAATGTTTCGCGTTCGATTATTTTGCGCGATAAGAATGAATAAGGGGTCGAAGTGAACTTCGATGCTCCGTGTTACGAGATTTCCCTCTACTCGATCCGCCCGTCGTGTGTTCCTTTCCTTATTCAATTTCGAGTCGTATAGCAAAGAAAACACGAATAAATAGAGATTTTAATTAGAAAACGAGGAAACATGCCTGATTTTTGTCATGAAACTTTCATAATTATTGATATATCGTCTTAATTTTATATCGAGACACATAAGAATTTTTATTACACGAACGTACTTTGATCGATTGCTTGACCAATCGAAATTTTACGATGTATAATACTAGTTCATAGAATCGTTCGACGTTAAAATTAATCAAACCAAAATCAAAAATTCGAAATAATTCTTTCAAACGCATCGAATCGTTCGTTAATTATTTAATCAAATATCCAACAATTCTCATTTCGCGAAAAGTCGTTTTTTCACCGCGGCAGGTGCTGCCACCAGTGGTGGTGCCAGATAAACCAACCTCGACCGCAACTCTGATCTCGTTACTTTAAACGCCCCCCTCGGCCGTTCATCTTTTAAACCCATAAAACTGATTCAACGGCCGGACCAAATTGTTCCTCCACTGTGTATTTCCGCGCGATTAGGCTTGGCAACGGCGAAGGGAGGCGCGAGAACGAGTGGAGGAGGACATGCTCGCGGATGTTGCCAGACGAGGCCGTCTGACGTAATCTTCGGGAATGGAAGCGGAAGAAGGGGAGGGGCGCGAGGCGAAGAAAGCTTGGAGATGGAGAAGAAGGGGGAAATGCCGCTATGCGCGCTGGCCTGAGACAACGACCTTTCGTGCGTGAATGGGTTTGGATATGCGTCTCCCTGTAACGCGTGGTACAGCGGGGTCCCGGGGTCGAGGGGGCCCGCTGAGAATTCAGAGGAAAGGAAATGCGGAGGGGGAGGGCGAGACATATGTACGGAACGCGGGGTGAAAATATTAAACGGGGTGAAAGTATGCGTGAAATGTGAAACCGAAGGTGGAAGAGCCTTGCTTGTGGGGAGAGGAGAAGATTAATTATTGAGGATTTGCATTTTGTGAGTAGATTGGATATCATGCGTGGTGGAGGTTATGTGGAGGAAAAATAGTGAAAGTGGTTGTTATGGTGAAATGTTTGGAGGAAATGAGTGAAAGGAGTGGTGAGTGGAAAGGTCGAAGTTTGTCTGCGAGGAAGATTAATTATCGTGGTGGATTTGATGGATTTGTAAAAAGAATAGGGGATGATAGGTAAAATTTCATTTTATCTGTGTAAGCAGCATTTTTCGCTCCGTCTTTATTACGTAAAAATATTGTATCGAGTTATTTTCAATTATTCGAAATCGAAATGATGAGCCGATTTTTAATCAAGATTTTTTTGATACTCTTTTCTTTTTTTTTTCAGATAGATCGCACAGCGCATATTATTGAATTTTCGTGTCTAAAATATTTTATTGTACCGCGAATATACACTGTATCTTCTTTCATTGAATTTTTCGGCCAAATAACTTCAAATCAACGAATTGTTGCGATTTAATCCGATTAATTGGGAAAAAATTTTTTACACGTTTTAAAAATGCGACGAACGTTTTATACAGTTACTTCGATATCCGCGGATAAATTCCAATGTCGTGATGGACATCGAATTGCGTTATTCCAATATAATTTAACCCTTCCAAAAACGAAGAATCTACGAATTAAAAATTTCATTTTCACGTTGAAAATTCATATTGCTCGTTGTCGATTTATCGCAATGTATCAACGAGCAGAATAATTAAAGTTGGAAATTTTTACTCAGTCCATCTTGTATCCTCGCCGTTCCATTCTTAACATACGAATATCAACCCTCGATGCACTCGAGCATCCGCTTAACAAGATAAACGACGCCGATTCCTTCCTCTTGGTCGAAGGGACTAATTCAATTTGGAAGGGTAATACCTGGAAAACGTCACAGGCATTATCGCATTTTTCTTCGAGGCTGAAAATCGACTACGATGCTCGACGATCGGACGAGCCAAGGTCGAAATGAGAACAGCGATGGCGGAAAATGGAAGGAGGTCAAATTACTCTCCTCCTCGATCTTCAAGGCCGTGAATGGATGGATATTCCAACTATTATCGGGGATAGATTCTTCTCTGTATATTTTATGACGAGATATCCTTTTGTGTTCTTGAATCTTGGGCTATCGAAATTTTAAATTTTTCCTCCATCAACTTTATCACTTCATTTCCTTTCATCGTCTCGTTGGAAACTTGAAATACAGCCGAGTCTCGATTATCGGGATAACGATTGATCAACGAGATTAAAAAATTAAAATAGATTTCGGAGAAAATCTCGTTAAATTCTCGTTCCACGTTTCTTTCGTATTTATATTTTACGTAGTAAATATAATGATTGATATTATAATAAATTTACTAAATTTTTTTCGAGGATCATTTTCTCGAGCGCAAAAGTTAGTTGATTATCGAAACAGTCGCACAAGTGTTTCCAGAAGAAAATGTAATTCGTAACGAATATCTTTTTCCTTCTCTTTCTTTTTTTCCTTTTTCGTTTCTTTTTTTTTTTTTCG